CCAGCCGGCAGCAGGTGGCTCTGGGAATCGCGGCTGGCCCTCTCTGGGGCCGTGAATGCAGGGAGTGCCTTGGGCTGCAGAGACTCCTCACTGAGGAGAGAACTTTCCCTTTCAGCCCCCGCCAGCTGGCACTGTGATCTCTCCCCCACCCCTGGCCCCCCTCTCCCACCTGCCACAGCTGGGCCCAGCAAAAAGCAGTGGATGGGGAGCAGTGCTCTGAGCAGCACACGAGAACAAAAGCCAAGAGTCTCAGTGCATGTGGCTGGGCTGGTCAGGGAGGTCTTGCGGGGGCCCAACATAACTTCAGAGGCAAACTTTGTAGTACCCCCTCTCCCTATGGGACAGATGGAGTGCCCTCAGGCCAGAGCTGGTATAGAGCTTTCTCCCCCCCAGCCTGCCTTTCCTCCTCCCCCCCACAGGAAGCCGAGCACAGGAGAGGGAGGAGGCCACAGAGTTTGTGGCTCTTGCAGGTCCCTGGAGCATGGGAAGGGAGGAGGCCATGCGGCTGAGGGCAGAGGTAGCAGTGGGATGCAGAGTGAAATGTAACATCACTCTGATGTCCCTCAGGAATGTTTAAATATAGAGGAGGATGCTTTGTCCTTGCTTGCCGTACAAAATTTGTGAACTTACCTTATCAACAGCCTCTATAGTTTGTTAATAGTTGTATTAGTTTATTGCTTTAGAATAATGAATAGTTGTATTAGTTTATTGCTTTAGAATAATGAGAACCTCAAAGAGGCTTTGACACCGACAAGTGTAATGGCTAAGAGAATGGAATTTCCTTCAGAGAAAAACCATCAGTATTTGATGGGTGAAACCTTTATATTTTGTTTCCCCCCAGTTTTTCTTCTCCTGAAATAATGGTATGTTTCTCTTATCAGCCATCCCTCTGAACACAAGTGGGCCTCTCAGATCATAGCTAAGTTCAGGGTGCAGCCTGCTTTTGTTCTCGTTCCTCCCTTCAGCCCCATATTTCTGCAAAGATGTCTCACATACATAATTTAAGTCGGTGCTAATTTGGGGGCCCAATTGTTTTTAGAGCTGATCTGCCAGGCACAATAGGGAGTGGTTTTTGCAGCCTGGCATAGAATATCTGGGATCTGGAGCTGTCTGACTGGATGGGGCTGATTAAGTGGTTGCGGGGCTGTGTTGCTGCACAGCTTAGAGGGGATCTTGCTCTCTAGCCTATGATTCTATGATTTTATTGTTAACTAATATAGATCAAATGGGTTGGAGGATCCAACCAGCCTGTGTGTCAGTCCCTCCTGAAAAAATAAACTTTTTTTTTGTGGGGGTATCTGAGATCATTTGACTAAAATGCACAGCATGCACATTTGAAAAATATCATATCCTGTTATGGTTAATTGCAGAATCCTTTAGGTTATGTCTACACTACCCTCCTAATTCGAACTAGGAGGGTAATGTAGGCATACCGCACTTGCAAATGAAGCCCGGGATTTGAATTTCCCGGGCTTCATTTGCATAAGCCGGGCGCCACCATTTTTAAATCCCGGCTAGTTCGAACCCCGTGCCGCGCGGCTACACGCGGCACGGAGTAGCTAGTTCGGATTAGGCTTCTAATCCGAACTAGCTGTACTCCTCGTGGAATGAGGAGTACAGCTAGTTC